TGATTATGTGTGTCTGTGTGTGTTTGATTATGTCTGTGTGTGTTTGAATGTGTGTATGTTTGTGTGTTTGAATGTTTGTGTGTATGAATTTGTGTATGTTTGTGTTTGTTTAACTTTTGTGTGTGTGCGTTTTCCGGAAAGAAAGAGGACGGGATTGTTTACATTCATCGATTGATGAAGAATAACTTTACCAGAATTGAGATTAGGACGAAATGGAAATACTTCACCCCGAAAAGAAGAAAGTTCGCAGAGAAGTATGTAAAGTTAACAAGGTTGAGTTTAAATGATGAAATCAGAGCAATAAAAGACAATGTACATGTGTAGTGATTTTAATCGACGACTTTAATGATTGATGGATGAAATTTCAAGTTTGGATTTTTACTAGTTATAAAAAAACCTTTTTTACAGAGACGTAAAGAAGCTCAAAGAAAAATGTAAACATTCGAGAAAGTTGTTTATTACAGGGATGTAGATGGTGATCACCCGTTTCGTTTCTCAGAATTCACGGTTGCGCGACTGCTTTCCAATTCAACTTCGTATTTTAAATTAGCCGTTGATATCAATCTGTCGACGGGTTCTCTAACGGATGCGCGGCGGATCCTTCATTAACCCGAGCCCAACTGCGTCTTCGCGTTGCCGATGAATTGGCCGTGGCGCCGTGTCGATACGCGTTGGCGCCGGGCTTTGATGTCGCTCCGCTCGACGGCGATCGGGATCGGGATCGGGTTTCTGACTTTCCGCTGTTCACTTGCCAGACGCGTTGGATGAAACTCACTCCATATATTGATTCTCGTGTACACGTGCCGGTAATTTCCCACAGGTGCACGACTTCGATATTTGGATTCGGAAATCAGGGATTCGAAATGACAATCTTACTTTGCTTGTCTGTTCCTCTCTACACAGCCACGTTTTCTAGTAGACTTCAATATCTCGTGCAAATAAATAATAATAATTAATAATAATAATAATTTATTTTCCATAAGAATTACATTGACAGTGTACAAAACCATCACTTTAAAAACAATAAGAAAGAATACTAATTATGCTCGAGTACATTACATACATTACATCCTGTTTAACCTTTTAGTAAAAATACTGGTCTTATTCAGATTTAAATTTATTTTTATTTTATCTTATTCAGTACATCTCAAACCCTCTCGAAGTACTTTTTGTACTTGTCAGAGAGGGGTGTTTTTCATTATCCATTTGTTTGTTTGTTTTTTCTTTTCGGATTACCGTTGTTGATTACAGTTCATCCATTATCTGTACTACATTAATAATAATAATAATAATAATAATAATAATTAATGCTTCAAGTTGTCTACCCTTGAGCTAAAGTACATAAAGAATATATCACGCAAATAAGGAGAGCGAAAACTGAAGCAAATTGAAGCATCCTGGCAAACTATGGGAAAGTATATGGTGAGTCAAGATGAGACTGGGCATTAAATCTGACATTCGTGTGTGAAATGCGAGAAATGAAATGTGATTAGCGAAATTAATGGAAAATAACTAATCAAATGAATGACAGTTCTGTATCTGATTCGCATCCGTTGCGTCTGTGACATTCATTACCCGTTGCTTGTGCGTGTGCCCCCAGCCGCGGCATTCCGCCAAGCTGCTGAATGTCCTGCGCCAGATGCCGCAGCGGAACGGCCCCGACGTCTTCTTCAGCTTCCCGGGCCGCAAAGGATCGGTGAGTGCCTCGCGAACGCAGATGCAGCGCAAAAGTGACCACTCAGCTGAAGTGAAGAGGGGAGAAACGCTTTGCAATCTATCGCAAGTTTTGTTAAATTGTTTTCTGTTTTCGGAATTTTAGTTACGAATACTGGCAAGTCTGTGCGTCGATTTATTTACAGTGTCCTTTGGCAGTTCATCAGCTGTTACGGTGTAATACAATCGGGAGCTTGAACGTCGCCATAGTGACGTCCCTGTAGTGAAAGGTGGTTCCCACTAGGCATGTGTACCCACTTTTATCTAGGTTATTTTGGTTAGAATAGAGATTTGGATAATATTGATAAAAGTACTTGCCTCATTTCACTAAAAAATAAAATAAAATAAAATAAAATAAGGGGGAAAAAGCTGATGATCTGCCAAAGGACATTGTTAGTAAATCGAAGTATACTGCAAGTCAAGCAGGCATAGTTGCCTGCTTGTTCACGGACACCGAATATTTCTCTATTTATTTTCATTTAGATCACACTATTAAATATGTTGATAGTGGAAGTTAAACTTTATTTTGATGGACCCTATTTTACAAACTAATCTAGAATAAATGTCATACTTTACCAAAAATGTATCAAATGAAATCGGAAAGTGATGTAGAAGTAATGAAACAACCGAAAGTGACTTATTATCTTATCAATTATGTTTTGGTCTTAATCATTGAAACTAGTTCAATATTTACCTTATGGATTTATGTATAATTCTCCACTGAATCTAGTATGAATTAGTTGGTTGACCCAGGGGCGGATCTAACAGATCGTGTGCCGGAGTTGGGAATCATTGATTTTTTGTTAAATAATAAACATATTTGTAATTATGTTGTATATTATTTTTGTAATGTGTATATATACTAATATTATTTAAAGAATGAAGTACTTCTAACATAAATAAAATAAAACAAGTATAGCCAAATAAAGGAAGGTAACAAAGCAAAACAATAGGGCTTTTTTGGGGGAGGAGGGGCATGGCTTCATCGGATTCGCCATCTGGTTAGACGGCTTGAGTCTCACTGGTTAGACGACTTGAGTCTCACTGGTTAGACGGCTTGAGTCTCACTGGTTAGACGGCTTGAGTCTCACTGGTTAGACGACTTGAGTCTCACTGGTTAGACGGCTGAGTAGGCGTAGGAGTAGGCGTAGGAGTAGGCGTGATCTGCCCCCCCCCTTCCCTTGGCAAGAGCGGCCTCAGCGCCTTGTCTCGTGCGCAGGCGGTGGTGCTGCCGCCGCTGGCGCGGTGGCCCTACGAGAACGGCTTCACCTTCACCACCTGGTTCCGGCTCGACCCCATCAACTCTGTCAACATCGAGCGGGAGAAGCCGTACCTCTACTGGTGAGTACGCAATGATATGCTCAACAGTGAAAATGATGTGCCTCAAAAATATGAAAGTGAATTCCCAATGTATTAACGACAGTTAACACGTAATTACGTTATGAACTTGTTGAGGGTCTTTATCATAGGTAATACCACTAGTGCTTTAGAAATTGTCGATAAATCCCCGACTCGCGAAGCGAGGAGAGGATTTATCTGAGAATTTCCAAAGCACGAATGGTATTTAATGAATGGTCTATTCCACGAGTGAAATTATGTCCAACAGATATCTAAATTGCGCCAAATATTGAAAATAACTGAAAGTGTATGTTAGAATCTGAGGTTATGTTGTAGTACATACGCTGTTTATTGGACATCTAAATAGCGATCGATATATACAGTCTCCTAAGATAGATGAGGGACAGTTTATGATCGACCAGTTGGTAGAAGCGGTAAGAAAAATCGGATAGAAAAAGCGATAAACTTTCTGAGATACACCGCCCTGATTGGGGCATTTTGTAAGTATAGTTAATCACTGTTGGTTTCAATTTCACGAAATTTGAGAAGGCTTTCAAGTTTGTTTCCAATTGAAAGTGTTAGATGAATATTTGAAATACATGATTTCCAGAAGATGGACGGGGGGGGGGGAGGGTTAAGAACTTTCCGAATTGGAACCGGTAAAGATTTTTTTGTTCGCAGATTCTGTGTGTTGCGGTGTTGTTTTATTTTCCGAATTGAATAATGATTACTATTTATGTTCTGGCGAGGCACGAAAAAGAGACAGTTGAACGTTAACGCCGGTCTAGTGTGGCGGGCCGCAGGACGGAAACGGACTCCTGAGGGAGTTGAAAATATCACATGACCAGTAATTTCTGGTCGGCAGTAACTTATTCCCCCTTTCAAGTAAAGCCAACGCTACATCGCGAACCTTCCTTCGCTTTCGTTTCTTCTGTCTACCGATTTCTCAAGCCGCGTTTGTGTTGTTTTCAGCTTCAAGACGAGCAAGGGTGTAGGATACTCGGCGCACTTCGTGGGCAACTGCCTGGTCCTCACCTCCATGAAGGTCAAGGGCAAGGGCTTCCAGCATTGTGTCAAGTATGAGTTTCAACCTCGGAAGGTAAGACTCGTCCCATGAAAAACACATCGTTGGTTATTTACGTGTCACGCCCATTCTTTTCTTTTTTATCGATATAATCGATCTGATTTTGAATCCTTGACTTTCCTAAAAACATATTTATGTTCCTGCCTACAAAAATCCTCTGAATTACAACGCCCCACCATAGGAAAGTGGCTTAATTCAGCTCTGTCATATGTTGTTGTTTTGTTTTTTGCAGTGGTACATGATCGCCATCGTTTACATCTACAACCGGTGGACCAAAAGTGAAATCAAGTGTCTGGTGAACGGGCAACTGGCATCTAGTACGGAGATGGCGTGGTTCGTGTCCACCAATGACGTGAGTACACAGTATGATCTGACACCTCGGTGTTTCTTTAAAGAGTAGGAGAAATCTCTGCAGAGAATCCTATGTCATTCGTCGTTCTTTGCGCTATTCTCGGAGTGACTAAATGTGTATTGCATTTAATTAACTTAATTTTATCTAATCTCGGCGTTGAAGAGTACCTACATCACTAACTCATTGCAGACGACTCACTTTGATTTGAGGCCCAAATATGAACACGAAGTAATGTAAAACGTAAAACGTGCATGTGCGTAACACAAAAAAAATTAAAATTAAAATTAAAAAAAAAGAAAAGAAACAAGCTCACGATAAGCTGTGTCGTAGAATATACAGGAGTCTTCAGTATAAATGTTAAAAATTTCTATAGCATTTAGGCTAAGCGAAATATTTTCCCCAATGAACATGTGGAATGAAAATTCATATATAACGAACGATTCAGCGAAGGCTTTCAAGTGATTTTTCACGCTGATAGTTATGCAACATTCCATGCAATGGTGTTAATCATGTACAGAAATGTCAGTACATCTACAGAAGTCCCTAGGTGTCAGAACGTGACCTGTCGGAAAGAAAGCATAATGTGTTGCCTATCAAAGAAGGGTCGTTTCGCTCTGAAATTTCTCGCCTCATTGTTTCCCAAAAGTGATCGTCTTCAACCCATCAACCCCCATCGTGCGCTTGAAGTTTGTAAGATTTATTCTGAGACATTCTGAATAACACGAGGGCATTGTAAAGTATGTTTCAATTCAGAAAGGTCTACGATGTTTTGCGCTCCCGCTGAGGTGTCTCGGGGCATCAACTGATGTCTCTACAGGGAGGCCCTATGGTTCGAGACCGGTTCATGGCAGGATTTTCGACACTAGCTAGAAAGCTAAGTCTAAATCAGCTGCTGGCGGGAGGAGGATTCTAGCGGACGGCTGTTTTCCTTGGTTACTCTGATCGCCAGGCGAAAGCTGGAGCAGTACCCTTCCAGATTATGCCACGGACAGCGTGCGATCTTTCCTTCGCCTTCCTTGTCTTATCCTCACCCCTTACTTGCACACACTTATACTTACATGCACTACACTACCACACGTGCCGGGAGCTAAGAGCTCGTACCGGCTTGGGCGGTGCCCCGCTGGAGATACCTACTTGGTTGTAGGGGAAAACACTAAGCCGACGTGTAGGTCAGCGTCGGATGTCGCCATCCAGCCGGGGAAGATTACCTCCACTCCCGCGATAAAACATGCACTATACTTACAGGACTAACGACGTTAGTCGTTGGCGCGCCTGGAAACACCAATCAATGAATCAATTAATTAGATCGCTGGTGAGATAGATACCTTCTAATAATTAAATATGGTAAATTAAAGATGTTGTCTGGTATCAAAAAATGTATTTTGCTAATCATCGTTTCGATCGCGTAACGATCATCCTCAGAGCTGAAATTAGAATTACAGAAATAAAATTGTATTAATACATGAATTATAAAAATTTAGGTATAAGTTATTACAAAATATTATATACAAAATGTAGAGTGTATATACAAAATGTACAAAATGTGTAATAACTTATACCTATTTTTTTATAATGCATGTATCAATGTAACGATCGAAATACGATCGAAACGATCATTAGCAAAATAAAACTTTTGATACCAGACAACACCTTTAATTTACCATATTGAATGAATCGACGTTGTTTTTGGGCGCAGCCGTTCGACAAGTGCTACATCGGCGCCACGCCCGAGGTGGACGAGGAGCGCGTCTTCTGCGGCCAGATGTCCGCCATCTACCTGTTCAGCGAGGCGCTCACCACGCACCAGATCTGCGCCATGCATCGCCTGGGGCCTGGCTACAAGGTGAGAGCGGTGGAGCGGCCTGCCCTGCCCTGCCCGGGCCGGGCGCGTCGGGAATGGCTGAGCTGTAGCTGCTGCCTCCGCCTCGTGCTGCCGTAGACTAGCTGTCTCCGACTCGGAGATGATTGGAATGCATTGGACGTACTTGGTGGAGCCAGAAATGCTACTCATGGGGAACGCGTTATAATGCCATGTTTGCGTCCAAAGCCGTCTTAACCGCTGCTTTTATTATTGCGGGATGTTATTTATCTCTATAGTTAACAGTAACATTTAATTCTTGTTTTTATGCCTTGATTCGTGTATTTGTCCGTAACATATTTGCAGTTTTCCCCAATCTTATTGACATTGTCAAAAACCGGCGACCTCGCTCTTATGTACGTATCGCACATGTCCTCGAAGGAAAGGGCACAGCATTAGAAAGATTGCTATCGCTATGTCTCGCTGTCGAGGTGTAGCTTCGTTCTGCACAACAGTTCAAGTTGTTTGACTTCTAGAGCGTTGTCAGATCAAAAACCGTTCATTTTTTTCATGTAATTTCGTTAGTAATTCTACCTTAAACAATTATTCGGATTTGTAATTAGAAGGGTACATCAGATGTTTCTTCGGTGAAATTTCGCTTTGTGACTTTCTATAATGTATTATGCCTCTCGGATCTCGAGCCTCAATATGGTGTTGTATTTACGAACTTAAACTTTTTCTTTTCTATTTTTCTGTCATTTTCGACTAAGAATGTTTTCGAGCAACTCCAAGATTGTGGCATACTACTTAATTAAAATGCTAGTTAATGTGTATTCCCCATGTGTTGCATAGAATTCTGGACGCTAAGTATTTTTATAACGAAATTAACTAACTGGAAATATATTATTTTAGAACTAGAGAGAAATATTTAGTATTACGTTGTTTCGTATTCTAACAATTTAGTTTGTTTTTTATTCTCGAATAATTATGCATACAATTTGAATGTAGGTATATTGATAGTCTGTAGAATAGACAATTGAAGATAAAGGTGTCTTGTCAGTAACCCTGAAATTAAAATTTATAAAACCAATTTAAAAATTTAAAATAGCATTAATTTTTTTCGAAAATATATTTAGTCTTTCTATTTGTCAATGACCTTACGTAACAGACAATTTGTAATATATTCGAAATTATTATGTTTCACTTGTAAGTGCCAGTTTAATTTTTGGAAGTCTGTTTTACATTTTTTAATTTACTTTTTTATAACTTTCCGTTGGTTTTCGAGGAAAAAGAAATGTATGGAACTTCGTGCAAAGTATCTTGTTACCCACCATAAAAATTTTTTTTTGAGGTGATTTCATAGTAGAGGCTCTTTGAATAACGTAAAGCACCTTGGCATACGCCACTTTTGAGACCGAGCGCATGTGCGACTCGAACTGCGCATGTGCAGAGGCTCAAAAGTACTATACGCTATTTATAAGGTGCTTCACACTGTGTAAATGTGTCTAATGGCGAACATAACGTTTGTATAACATTTCGAGAATTATAAAAAGAAGCATATAACACCCATAGCTCAAGCATAAAACAACGGAGCTTTGAAATGCAAAGTAACCAAAGCACTGATTAAAGAATTATTTTCATGTAACATCGCTATAATTGTTTCTTTAGTCTGCGAGTAATAAAACTCCAAAAATCCAAAAATATTCAAATCCTTCGTTTCCGATAAGAGTTATCTAGCGACTATTCTCTAAAAATGTTATTATATTTTTTTTTTGTTATTTAGGAAAGGATTTCAAATATACAGAAAGAAAAAGTATGTATTATATTGTTCTCTATTAACTTGTTAGATGAAAATCCTCTGGGAAAGCAACAGAGCCCATGGAATCACCCATGTACACTTTTGTATATTTTGAAACTGCACGCCGTGTCCATTGTCTACTATCTTCTAAAGCCCACTTTAAAGTAAAATTTCCTTTCTGGTCATACTGACTAAAAGTATGCTTTACACACTTTTAATGGACCTTGTAAGCAATTGAATAGAACATCTGTATTATTGCCATCGAAGGTTCAATATTTGTAATTACAGAATGAAAAATAAAAGTTCATGGCACCGCTCTACTTCAGGATATATCTCTTCACTATAAAAGAATAGCTCTAAAGATCTTGAAGGTTACATTGTTTTCAAAAATTTGAAAAATAATGAACTTTTTCGCCGATTCTGTTTAAAGATTTTCTGCCCAGTTGCTTCTCATTGGGATGTGTTTACGAATTTTATTGGTACCTCATACCCGTCTTCCCCTTCTTTATTTTTACTGAAAGATGACACTGAATTATTCCAAAATGAAGTAATACAAATTATAAGTATTGCTTTTCATGTGACTGTGAATCACAATATCTTACTCTTAGTTTTTTTGATGATTGTAGTACTGCTGTTACGTTTTAAAATATTCTTTGTTTCGTGATTTGAAGGCCAAAATAGTGTACTGTGGATCGCATAAGTATTCAACCGGGATGTGAAGTGAGAAAAGGCGTAAAAATGCAAGTAATCGTTGTAGAATGGAATTATTACTGGTAGTTCATTATTGCAAAATCACATTTTCAAGTGTACAAAATAATGTTATCAATGAGTATATCTTTCAAAGTTAAATGTATGGAACTAAACATTTGGTGTCGTGCAAAGTGGTCCCTGAAGTCAAACTGTGAAGCATGGTATTAGCCCAGTGACTGTTTTGGGTGTCTGAGACAGGCGGACGGAGAGACGAGTATTTGCAGATGCATATTTTAATCGCACAGTGATGCATATTTTTAATCGTTAGTGTAATCCTCGAAATATCCGTTTCAAATTCGAGGGACCGTTGTATCGAACAGATCGATCGAAAAAATATCGATTTTGAAAATCATGTGTAAGTTTTAGACCCCTTTATATGTTCACAAGCGACCGGCCGAACGAACAGTTTTTTTAGTTCTGTTATAATTCGTAACAACGTTCTCACATAACTGTGTACTGGCGTGAAACATTCGGCGTAATCATCCTTTTAATTTAGTCAGTCGTAGTGAGTCATTCGAGTTCACAGTCGTTGTGCCGAAAAATTAATTTTAGGTAACAAGGACCCACAAAACACTTCCTATTGAAGAAAGTGGTTTACTAAAACTCTGGAGCCAGGAAATCTATTTTGTTAGTATCAGAGACTCACCACACTAGTTATTCTGTCGGAAAAATTGCCTCTTTTTCCTGCAGCATTACAATACTAGGTAGTATTTTATGAGAAAGTGAATTGAAAGTAAGTGAATACAAAATTAGTAGATCCAACAGTAAAACACTAAGCAACTAAATAAATACCCATTATGTTTATGTTTTTTCTAATTGATTTTATGTCTATTTGATTGAATACTTTTGCTGGATCACATTCCTTCACATCAATGTTCAGCTTCTAACATATATGATTTTTAACAATAAACTGAATGTTTTAAATTTTAAACGATTATTTGCATTTTAATTACATTTCTCAGTACACAGAGAAGGGGCTGGTTGAATTCTTTTGCAAGTCACTGTATATATTTATGTAGAACGTTCATAGTATTACACACCATGACAAGAATGGTACATGTAACAAAAGAAAAATTAACTATTATGAAAACATTGATTTGCGTTAATAAGTAACATTACAATTGTTACTTCCATTTTCCATGTAGTTTTGATCCAGTTATTAATCTCGCCTATCTCCTTTTCTCTCTAAGCTTATGCTGAAAAATTCATTTTGCAATGTTCTATGGTGAATGACTTTGTGAACATTCTACATACTTCAGCTAGTAGTTCAATCAATATTAGTAATGATAAAAAAATATGAATGAGAGTGACCTACAAACTAATGCATCAGCATTTTGTAACACTTGTGGCATTGTATGGTCCTGACTAAGTTAGTGTATACTTGAGGAGGTGGCTGAAGAGTGACCGTTGACTCCCTTCCGCAGTGCCAGTTTCGGTTTGACAATGAGTGCACCCTGAGCCTGCCCGACAATCACAAACGGGTGAGTGACGCTGCCACACCCCGCATGCAACAGGAACAGGCCATGCTTTCCGTAAGCTGCACCTTTTTTTTTTTTTTTGGCAACCCCTCTCTCGCAGGGCATCAGCTCAAGGTCTGATTGATTTTTATTCATAACGGAGAGAACGTATAATTTTCGAAAATGAAACGTAAATGTGGAACATAAATTCTATATGAATTCTTCTTTCAATATATTTTTAGAACCATAAAACTGTTCTCTCAACTTTAAAGCTCCTATAAAAGTATTGGTACATCATTAGTAGATTATTAATGATGTAGTTAACAGTGCATTAAAATTACTTATCAAAATATTTACTTATATTTAATAGTGCCAATTTTTTCGCCCAGTATTTTAGTAATTAATTTCTATAATAATACAGTGCGACCATTTTATAAATGTGTCGGTCGTGCAGGGATTTGGTCTCGGTGAACGAGGTCACGGATGTTTGGGAAATCGAGACCGGTAGAATCGCCGAAGGCAGCAGCGACAGACAGAATCGAAGAAGAAAAAAATAATTTCGAGTTATAGTGGATGCTGGAACTGCTCATCGCAGCTCCGATACATTCTATGGAATCTAAATAAGTTCTCGCTCACTCTGTCAACGATATCCATTGGTATTGTAGAGGTCTGCTCCTGTATATTGCGCCTCAATTCTTCTTCCCTGGGGATTTGTCGCATATGTGCTATATTTCAGAAATTCTCAATGAAAGAAATTGCACGGAGTCAGATCAGTTGAGCGCGCAGGCCACGAACCACGTGTGACTATTAGTCTCAGTAAACGGCATGTTATCCCTTAAGGAAACTGAAGCAGTTTGAGCACTTGCGAAATCCTATTGAAAATGGCCGTAATTATGCTTTTCATTTGTCAACATTTGGAAGAAAGGCTCCAGGATACTATGCACTTAACAGTTTGACACATTTTACGTACGTGTCGTATACAAACAATTCCTGTTTATGAGTGAACTTCGAGCGAGCCATCACAAACCAACAGTTCAACACCGGAAAGCACGTCGTTTGCAACGCGGTACCTAACGTAAATGTAGCTTCACAGTGCGCACGTTTTGTTAAACACTCCTTTTGCTTGTAGTGGTACGAGTGGAGGTAAGGGCGAGTTACTATTTTGTTAGCAATGCAGAAAAATCATATCTGCAATTCGTTTTCCGTTGCAGATAACTTTTCTATAACTCGGGAACGAAAATGTCCAGTTTTTCAAAAGTTGCTGATCTCGCACTTGTTTAAATTTTATTTTTATTTATCTTTAACTTTTACCCATGTTTCAACTATTTATAATTAAAATAATGGGAATGGATTCTGGAACTCAAGAAAACGTGCGCAAATAATCTTTTCCCCTACACGTTATATACAGTTTTTACTGTTTTTTGACTAAATAAATCTAAATCTACCTTCCGCACCGTGCCCCGGGCAATTCAGCGCACCGTTCCCCGGCGAGTGAAGGCCCGTCGGCCGAGAACTTTCCACGATCGCGGCACACTAATAAAATAGTCGCCCTGTAGCTATATCGATTAGGTTCATTATTAATACAAAAATTATTATCGATTACCTTTTGGAGAGTTAATAAAAGGTTTTGGAAGAATTTGTATTTGGAAGACTGCTATGCCCTGAGAGAAGGTTATTTTTATTATTTTTTTTTAATTTTATTCTGATGTTTTATTAATTTATTTTGTTTTGTTGTATTATGATTTTAGAAAACCTTAATTTTTGCACAAGTTTGTAGTGAAATGTTGATAATTGGAGCACATAGTTCTGGTTTTGAAGTTAGCACATTCCTCCTGAGGGATAGTTTCACTATTTTGAATTTTGAAAGCATACAAACTATTATTAGTAAAATATTATATCAGAATATGCATTTTTGCTTGAATTCCTGATTTTTGTAATGTTTTGAAAGCATGATGCAGAAAGTGCACTGGTGTTCAGTTATTGGTTTTTGATACTGTGTAGTAATTGGTTTGTTTTTTGGCATTTTTGATGTTTAGTATTGCTCTCTGCTGTACATAAGGTAGTGAGTGAAGTACTGGGAAGAAATCAACATTCATTCACCTTCTTTTTGTCCCAAAAAGAACTCTTCAGGTTGAGAAAAAGCTATTAAAACATCTACACTTAATTGTGACCATTTCATAAAAAGAATATGAATACAAGATTTCCAAAATTAAATCATGAAATCAAAATACTTTTTTTTAATAATGCAGCTAAATTATCAGTGGTCTTGAATTCTGTAATTCAAATCACAATGTTAATCATTAGCTTTTGTTTTAAATTGCAGTTTCATGCTGATATTGTCCACGCATGTATATCAAAAAAGAAATGAATTCCTATCTTTCTTAGTTTTGAATTTATATTGTTAATTTCAATTAATCCGTAAATTACAAAATTAATTAGTTAGTATCTACCTGAAGAGTTGTTTGTGCACACTGTTGGGATGCAGGTACGTACTTGAGATATAAAATTAGCAACATGTGTACTGTAATATTACTGTAACGATTGAGAAGATAAATGTATTTGAAATTAATTGTTTTGCAGATGTGACAAAAACCTATAAATAAATAAACAGAATATTTATTAATATGAACTCAGCACTTACAGTACTATTAATCTGAATTTTTCATGTTTTTTTTTTTTTTTTTTTTTTTTTTTTTTTTTTTTTTTTTTTTTTATTTCGACTAGAAAATCATGTATTTGTATATCACATTCTTTAAAATTGCATAGAACTTAGTAATACAGCATTACTAATGGACATTTTTGCATAGGTGCTGTATGATGGCAAGCTCTCCAGTGCCATTGTGTTCATGTACAACCCTGTGGCTACTGACAGTCAGTTGTGCCTCCAGTCAGCACCAAAGGGAAATGTATCCTATTTTGTTCACACTCCTCATGCATTAATGCTTCAGGTAAGTTAAATTCAAGGAAGTATAAAAAAAATATAGGAAGCATTTTTAATGTAATTTTTAAAACATTCTTCATAAATATGTTTCCTTGAAACATATATGAAAGGTCACCATGGAATTGGAACGTGCATGAGCAAGGGTGTCCCTGTTTGATTCTTTTGGAAGTGACAGCTGTGGAATTTCAAAGCACCATTTGTGACATCTCTCATATCACTGTTGTTGCTCTAGGGATTTGAAAAAATGAGTTAGATATCATTGCAGGATGGCTATATAATATTAATAGTATTATATAATACAGGAGTGTCCAATTTGCAAGGGCCAGAACTAAAATCTTTAATATGGTTGAGGGCCATATTTTCATTATTGGGCGATCCACTTTTGATTTCCCCGAAATATTGATCTTGGCATTTTGCCCGTCTGCTCTGAAAAGGGGACTATGCATGATATGAAGACATACCATGCATAATGCAATGAAACACATTCAGATGATTTTGAATTTCTGAATTTACTAGAAAAATTTTCTTTAATGAAAACTTCACCTATTTTTATATGGGAGGGGGGGGGACCCTAGCAGGGTGCATAAGCTAATCGCGCTATGTTCTTGCTCAACATCATGGTTGCACAGAACTTTCACTTTTGACCTTTGGAGACCACAATTAATGGCAGGCCGCATTTGGCCCGTAGGCCGCCAGTTGGACAACTGTGATATCGCAGGAATGCTATAAATACAATAGTAATGAAATGCTAAAGATACCTTTTTTACTGTAGTGTAAGAATTTTAAAAAATCCTCAAACTTTTTAAAGTAATTCTGAGTGAAAAAACTATGTTTATGACGTTTGTGAATGAGCGAACCTAAGATTTACACATTTTCAGACCCTTCCTTTTCTCTCTCATGTTATAAAAATGTATTTCTTACATTTCTTTGTTTCCTACTTTCTCTGAAAAGTTGGAATGAATGAAAACAAGAATGGTTTAGTTCCTATTTTGTACCAAATTTGAATTTAAATAGAGTTTGCCATAAAATGGTATTTTTTTGTCAGCTTCTAGTGATAGTGGCATGCACCGTGTGCTAAAAGTTCTAGTGTCAAATTGAGATGCTCAAATGCCAGATAAATTGGTGAAATCAAGAAATAAAATAATTTCTCCTAACTGCATTAGCTGCTAGTGATCTTAATGTAACATTAAGTGATTTGTATTCCTGAAAAAAAAAAAAAAAAAAGAAAAAAGAAAAAAAGAAAGTCGGTAAGGGTGAGTAAAATATAGTGTATGACGCATGTGGTAAAAGTGATTTTTGCCCCTTGACACAAAGGGAAATTGAGAGAGTAAAAATAATCAGTTTTGTGTATTTCCATATCAAGAATCTAGATGAAGTTATTAATTTTTTTGTTTTGTTTTAATAGTGGAATATTCTCATCAAAATTAACAAGAGTACGTGTACATGCAATTCCTACAGGGAAAAGAAAAGTTTGGGAACCGTTAAGTAACATGATAGTAGTGTCAAAATATAACATAATATAAAAAAAAAATACATGATAGTGGTGTCATAACAGTTAATGCACTTGATGTTGAGATCACATGGCAAGTGCAGTGGGTCTGAATCATGCGTGTTGCGGAGGTCGCAATTCCAGCAGGCAAGCTGGAACTTGCACCCTTGCTTCCACTTTCTCACGAAATAAAAGTCAAAAGCAATAACTAAAACTATTTAGGCTCTTTTTTTCTCGAGAACACAGTGAACAACAACACTGATCCACGAGAGGAATGGTTGTATTTATATCCTCAAACTTTTAAGTCAAGTTAACCCTTTTCTTCATGTCCCCGATTACATTATGAGGCTCCGACCTATGTGATTAATGTGTAACAACACTGATTTTGTATAACACATAATGGGTGGCTGTGGGCATTGGAAATTGTTGAAATTAAAATAATGATAACTTAATTATAATCGATTTTAACATTTTTTTTCGTTTCATATTTATCAGATTGAATGAATTTTGGTCTTGCCCTTCAAAACTTGTTCAAAAGGTATGTCCTTACTAGAGTGTGATGATAGTTTTTTCTTTTACAGGATGTGAAGGCAGTGATCACTCATTCCATCCACAGCACACTCAACTCCATTGGGGGTATCCAAGTGTTGTTTCCATTGTTTTCTCAATTGGATATGCCTTATGATAGTGTTGTTGGTGCTAGCGAGGTCAAGAAAGACCCCACTTTGTGGTGAGTTAAAACTATTCTTAAAGAAAATTTCCTTAGATGTCCTTATTTATTCAATACAATTAGGAACCTATATGGGTGTTTTAGTTGTGAAAAGTTTGTTTGACAATATTTGAATTGTCCTTAACTGTGTGTTATTATTTAGATTATATTTTTAGTGTTTGAAGAAGCCCTTAACATAATTTTTGCCAGAACAGTTTTATCATCTCATTTTTGCAACCCAATTTACTTATGAAATATTAAATATTAATGGTTGGTATTTTTTCCCCCTTTGATTTTCAGTTCTAAACTTCTGGGCTTTATTTGTGAGCTTGTGGAGAGCTCACAAACTGTCCAGCAACATATGATCCAGAACCGTGGTTTCTTGGTTACCAGCTTCATGCTGCAGCGAGCATCACGGGACCATCTTACCACCGAGGTGCTGGGTTCATTCCTTGGCCTCACAAAGTACCTGGTGACCTGCCTTAGTTCCAACAGTGAACTCCTCCTTAAGCAGGTGAGGCTCAATGTGTTGGCATTCCCAATTCTGCCTGTTCCCCTCGTAGCTTGGCTACCTAGCACTGCTATAGCACAACAGTAATAACTATGAAAAGTTGACTTTACATTGATTGTGGGTACTATTGTTCTCTTAGATAAAGTTTGAAACTTAGTCAATTTTTGAATTAGTAAATGTACCCTGCTCTAGTTTGAAGTACCCAAGACAATTTTCTACATATTAATTTTGTAGATAAAATTTTAGTGATAAATAACTTTTAGCTTATTCCTGATAATAGATTGAGTAATGAGTGATATAAAATCAGTTTGCACGAGACAGAAATATATTCATTTATAAACAGATGTAGTTTAGTTGTAAGTGTATTAATGATATTGTTCTTAATTTATATTCTTGCACCTCAATTTTGCTATGCTGGGAAACTGAATGCTAAGTATCTGGTTTGTTATGTGAACTATTTGTCATCAATTTTATATGTTCTTTCACCATGAACAGATAGATATATGTATAATTCTAGTTATACTGCTATATTTGTGAGAGTAGAATATAAATTGATTAATGTACTCTATAAAGTAATATATTTGAATTTGAATGCACCTTGGTGTAAGAGTAGAATATATATTTACATATATATACATTTATATATCCTGTAGAAGATAGCGGTAGAAAAGTGTTGGCTACATCATAAAATAGATTTTTTTATCATATTTAGTTCATTAATTAGTTAGTGACATCGTTTTGAATCTAAATTTCTCAGTCCTCAATCTTAATACCATTTGAAATGTTTGATAGTCTGTGCTCAAGACTTGCACTACTCACTTGGCAGGTCTCAACTGCACACGTGCCAGAGTGCAAGTTGTGTTTGAGATAACCAACACAGATCAATACTAACAAATGGTCAGGCCCCCACATTTTGGTGCTACTAACAGCTGCGCCCGTGGACAGGCTCGTCAATTAAGATGCAGTTGTTCTGCTTCTCATTCCTCACCTGGCAGCTGCTGGATCATGTACTGTTCAACCCTGCTCTGTGGATCTACACGCCAGCACCTGTCCAGACTAGGCTCTACTCGTACCTGGCCACGGAGTTCCTTGCCGACACACAGATTTACTCGAATGTGCGACGCGTCTCTACTGTGCTTCAGACAGTGCACACGCTCAAGTACTACTACTGGGTTGCCAATCCCCGTGCGAAGAGTGGAATTACACCCAAAGGATTAGGTGAGTATGCTCTGATAAGGTGTTATCAGTCTTAATGATCTACGTGTTTATTTTTGAAGATAGCTTATGCAGTCAACTTTTATAGTGAACTTGTGTGTGGTCCCATTTCACTTACATTATAAATAAGCATCAGAAGATTCAGTTATAGTGAACCTGAACCTCCACTATAATGAACATAGGAAATACAACATCCTGGAAATTAATTCCTTCCTGGAAAATAATATCTAGCCTCAGTGCCACAAATTCCAACACTAGGCAACTTGAAAAAAATATCGTCAAAAAGTCATGATCAAAGAAGTCTCCCTTCAGTTCAAGTTAGTGGACCTGGAAATGTGACCTAACCGATGACCTTATGCCAGTCAAGCCATGTCCTGTGTGGGCTACAACTGGCTGCGGTGATGCCCAATTGCTGGATTAAAGTGTCAACCTTGGTGTTTCTTGATATTTTGTGGGACAAAGCACGATGAGTTCTTTGTAGGCAACAGAAAGCACACGGCTGCCACTGCCTGGCAATATCCGCCGTGTCACGTACAGAAAAGTAATCAGTTTCATTAGCTGCTTGTGACATCAAGCTATCAAAAACATCTCGTATGTTATTAGGCAAGTAAAAGGACCTTCAGAGAATGGACGAAGTTCCAACAGTGCATGGGGTATTGAAAGATGCCAAAACCACATTACGATACTTAGACATGGAGTTCAATGCGGAATCAAATATGGAGAGAGCACAAACTCTGAAGAAGGATATAGCGAAATCAATAATGAGAAAGTACAAAGCAAACAATTGAAAATAATTGATTTTTTAAGGACAAATAAATATATTGAAATGTTCAGTTCATGCTGTTAATGTATTTTGCTGTATCTGTATATTAATAAGTCAGTAGTTATAGAAAAATTCTGTTTATTTTTGATATCCTCCAATATGGTGAATCTCAGATGTAGTGAATCAAAAATGTGAATGCCCAGAAGTTCACTATAACCGAAGTTGACTGTACTTTTATTTGAGTAAATAGGGACATTTCTGTGGGTCTTTTAACATTCTATTGTGTTTTCAAAATACAAATCTGCAGAAAAAATAATGTATAGCCTGATATCTTTCGTATCAATCTTATCTAAATTATTTGAGAATTTTTTTAAAACTAGATTAATTATCTGTTTAGAAAATAATTTATTAAATCAAAATCAATATGATTTCTGAAATAATGTATTGATTTGTAAAGCTGTAATGAAAGTTATGACAAGAAAGCTTAAGTAGTAAATTTCAGAAAAAAAATAGTTGGGAATATTTTTAGTTATCCAAAAAACTTTTGATATTGTAAATCACATATTATCAATGTTTCAAATTTTGGTAAAAAAGTATCTGCTTAGGATATGTTTAAATCCTTTTTAAAATAAAGATCTTAAATTACTAAAATTGAAGACGGATTAATAATGTTTGTTACATTGCTGGAGATGTACCCGACAGTACTGTATATGCCTCAGAATGTGTGGTACGATTATCAATTTTACATTGGTGGGATGATCACCATTTCCCAATGAACATTTCATTTAGTGAAGTTACACATGTGACATTCCCAGTGATGGTTTGGTATGCATTGGTGTTTGATGGGTTATTTATTTATACATTTGTTTACTTATTTATTTTTGTTCATATATTTGTCAAACACACAAGCTGTAGTAATCCAAAAAGTCTCATTTCTCAAACATTTTAATTTCTCAATGAAAATCAGATAACAGTAATTCCCTAGCAATTTTATTAAAAACACATAAAGACAAAGTATTAAGCAGTGGATATATATTGTTGTTGCACAATTTGGATAGTCTGGGAACCAAGATTAAAACCCAGATGACATCCTTTATGTTTTCTTTGTGCATCGAAGATATGTTGATCCCAAAGCTCATAAGTGAGAGTATTGAAATAAACAAATCACTACAAACTATATTCTCTTTAATTATCTAATATAGTATATAGACATCGCCACTCACTATTTGCAATTCCAAAGATATCAAATTAGTCAATTTAGCTATTTGTAATTGATCATAGTTATTATGATCCATTGCAGTATTAGATAAATGTACTTTATATACAATAGACTTCAAAAACGTATACTGGATAGCCTTAGAATATTGAGGATTCTATATCATAGAGACATGCAACAAAATTGGTTCAATAAAGAGTTCTATAAAGTGTCAGAATGGTATTGATATTCTTCAATTTATTACTAATTACATTCTTCAAATTTATAAGCTGTCTATACTGTTGCAATTTTCAATGGTTCAAATTAAAATGAGGTTTATAAGAATGCAAACCAAGCGACAGTGACATTTGACTACATGCAAATCTGCAGTTTTTCTATGCTGGAAACAAAACCATTTACAAAAAAATGGAATAACTACTGTTGTTTCATTCCTTTACTTAACAAAAATGGAATAACTTCTGTTTTAGAAATATTCCAGGATAGAAAAACTGCAAATTTGTTTTCAGTCAATCATTTCAATAGAGTCATTGTACTCCATTCTAAATGAATGCCTAATCTAGAAATTAACCTTCGTCTCAAGACTAATAAACATATAGTATATGTAAGAAATTTCACAAATTCATTATTCTAAGATGCCCATTCTATCCTATCTTTTGTTCACTTTCCAGTATGGTTCAATCTGTATATCACTTCACAATAATAGGCTGAGGTGTCATTGCTAAAATATATCTATAACTCTTGAATTACTACAAAAACACACAAATATTTGTTTGCGTAACCATTAGATGCTGACAATTAGAATTTAAAATTGATGCATTTGAGGCACCCCAAAGATGTCGCTACATTTCACTGGTCTTATTTCTAGGGAGTCTCTCTATTAATAACCAACAATTTGAACTTAAAGGATGGTTTATGTCAGAAAGAACTAAAACACATCAGTTTGTCTATCATCAGTGTTCGTTTCCAAATTATTTAGATTTTAAATTCTAACAACTCGATCTAATGATAACCAACCCTAAAACCCTCTTCAACATAGTGCCAACCTATGTAGCAAAATTGGGCTACTTCAACATAAGTTTTCTGAAACTTTTTCAATATTATTCAACAGACATATTAACTTGAATATACACCATCAAAGTTTTTTCACCATCTATTCTCTAACAGACTCTCCATGATTATAGTAACTTATTCTATGGCTATCATACCATCACATTATGAACCTTTCACATGAATTTTCATTACTTGAGAGGTAGTAACGTGACAATTATATTGTCATTTCATCATCATCATTTTGATTCCCATAATTGTAACTTGAGAATGGTGTGTTAAGGATGTTCAACTAATTTTTTATGTAATTTTGTTTCATATATTGTGCAGATGGACCAAGACCAGCTCAGAAAGACATTTTAGCAATTCGAGCATATATTCTTCTCTTTTTAAAACAACTTATTATGATTGGAAATGGAGTGAAGGATGATGAACTGCAGAGTATACTAAATTATCTTACCACCATGCATGAGGTAAAATGATTCTGAATTTTCCGTGTCTCTAAAACAAATTCTTAGCTTGTTCTGTACTAATTGAATTGTTGTCTCTCTGCTTTCTCTGCTTCAGGATGAGAACTTACATGATGTCCTTCAAATGCTTATTTCCCTCATCTCAGAGCACCCCGCATCAATGGTACCTGCATTTGATGTAAAGCAAGGTGTACGCACTATCTTCAAATTATTGGCTGCTGAAAGTCAACTAATTCGCCTTCAGGCATTGAAACTTCTAGGATTCTTTCTCAGTCGTAGCACACACAAGTAAGCACATGTCATTTCCATTTCACATTTTCAGATTGTATTGTTAAAAAAAGAGACTAAAGTTCTGGTTTTGCAGGAGAAAATACGATGTTATGAGTCCACACAACTTGTACACTTTACTTGCGGAACGGTTGCTATTGAACGAAGAAACTCTGACATTACCTACTTACAATGTTCTATATGAGGTATTTATCTCTACATAAAATTTGTACAAATATCCTTTCTGCTTCAATTATGTAATCTCAATTATCCATTTATAAATATTTTTTAGATAATGACAGAGCATATCAGTCAGCAAATTTTGTACACAAGACATCCAGAACCAGAGTCTCACTTCAGACTGGAAAATCCAAGTAAGAAATTAATATCTCTCATATTGTTTCTCTTACTCATTCAAACATTTTTTTCTTCTATTCTAACACACATTTGAAAAATAAATAAAAATTTATTTTATTTTTACAGTGATTCTAAAAGTTGTAGCAACATTAATTCGTCAATCCAAGCAGACAGAACAGCTTTTAGATGTGAAGAAATTGTTCTTATCTGATATGACGTTACTTTGCAACAATAATCGTGAAAACCGACGAACTGTATTGCAGATGTCTGTTTGGCAGGTAATGGTTACGATATTTATTTATTTTTTTTATCTATCTCTTTCTTTCTTTTGACTTTCGTGCATACATGCAACCATATGGAGTAATATACATAGTATAGGGAAGTTATGTGATGCTGTGGAAAATTGATTTTGGGATTTCAACGGAAATGCATGTTTTGGGGTGTCCTGATACTGAAAAAGTGGTGGTGTTAGACATTCCCTGAATCATCTGCTGTGATTTTGAAAAACTTTCTTCAAAATTTGGGGGCATTTTTTCTTAATTTTACTTTCTTTCTTACCCCTGGATTATCTGCTGTGATTTTGAAAAAAAAATTTCAAAATTTGGGGGCATTTAAAAATCAGGAAAGAAAACTAAACAACAGTATATTGAGAGAATCTCGAAATTTTATATTCGTCGAGGCGTTTATGAATTTCTGAAGCTGATTTCTTATATTCTGAATTTTCTGAAGGGACAATTCCAGAAAGTATTTTGGGAGAGGAAATCATTTCAAATCAGATCTCTTTCCTCCAAATATTGATGAATTTTTAATTTTGTTTTTAATTGTAAACTTGAAGTAATAGAAATGCTCCCTTGCATATGATGTGATTTACACATGTAAGTTGATTTGAATAAATTGAATACTATACAAGAAACTTGGATTTAAAGGGGTGAAGGGGGGAGGTCCAACCTTGAATCGAATACTAATTATCTGTAGAGTTAGTTAATTTTGAGAGATTTATTTATTAATGAGTGAATGAAGGGGTGAGAGTTTCTAAAACTAAAGAATTCTTCTGTGACAATGAATGCGGTTGAGTGTTATTTAGATACAAGGACTCGTCATTGTTAAACATGTTATTAGCCATGCACGCAACAATAATATAAAAGGGCTTCTTATAAATTGTAGGAAAAAGACATGGTATGTTGTATTTCAGGCAGTTTGATTAATGGAGATTTGCACATGTTAGCTGAATGTTAAAAGTACATGATTTCCAAAATAAGTATCTTCAATTGGTTTGGACTGTTCAAAGAATTTAACTTAAAACTCCCAAGTGTGACCAGGTGGTGAAATGTCATTTTACATAACCATTACAAGTAACTTGAGAAAGTATGTGCTTTTGTAACACCACTTTAAGATTGGTGCAGATGGTGAAAACATGCAATTTTTTATTAAACAACAGTGTAAAATTATTAAAATTACCACTTTATCCAAAAGTATGGGAGTTGGGACAATAAGTTAAATCACTATCATGTCACCAGATCCTGCTTACTTATTCTCTGGGCTAAAAGACTTGCATGGAGAGGAAGTAAATAATATATTGTAAATGAAAAAGTGCCAAGAACTATAAAATTTCTGTTTTACCTAACCTATGGGGGCAAAGGGATCAGTTAGGTGGGGGTTGCCATAACACAATGTACACAGGACTCAAGAGCGGTTGAATCATGCTGTGCTACTGTTTGTGAATATCTTAGTATATTATTGATATTTGTAAAACCTTTTAAATAATTAGTACCTAAATTGCTACCTTTTCCCTAATCATTACGATTTTCAAAGTCTTCATGTCACAAGAGTAACATAAGGAAAAGTTTTTGTATGTACGTATCCCATTTTCGTAAAAATCTTTTTCTTATCAAATGTATTCTGTACTGTGTTTTGTGTCTTACAGGAATGGCTTATTGCTATGGCATACATCCATCCTAAGAATACTGAAGAACAAAAGATATCTGACATGGTATATTCTTTGTTTCGGATGCTCCTTCACCATGCTATCAAACATGAATATGGAGGGTGGAGAGTGTGGGTCGATACTTTAGCTATTGTTCACTCAAAGGTAGAATTGTCTTGTATTCTGTTTCATATTTTGATTCTGACTTGCTTTCATCAAAACCTGATATGTTATTTCAATCACTATTACAATAATTTCAGGTGTCATATGAAGAATTCAAGCTCCAGTTTGCCCAAATGTATGAACATTATGAACGGCAGAGATCTGACAACATTACTGATCCTGCTGTTCGCCAACAGCGGCCTATCAGTACTATTTCTGGTTGGGATCAACAGCACACTGCCACGAATGGTTATCATGCTAGGCCTCCCATTACAGGAACCTGGCAGAATACTGGGAAAGAAGGTGGCCCGGTATGTAGCTGTGGGCTCAATTCTCCTGAACACGAAGATACTAAGTGTGGAAGTGATATAGGGCTGGGGTCCACATTAGGTCTTGAAGAAGAAAAGGGACAGGATGCTTTGTCAATAGGGTCTAGCACGTGCAATTTATATAGTGAGGTGTGCAAAGCAGACACAGGATCCCTTATCATCGAAGACAATCAGCAATCTGATACAGAACAAAAACTCGAAGGTGCTGTGGATACTGAAGGGTCAGCCCAGAGCCCTTTGTCATCTCAAAGTGAAACTGCAATTCTTGACAGTGGAACTGAACCAGATCCTCCATCAGTGCAGACACCTTTGCCTTTAATACAACAAACTTCAGAAGACAAACAGTCTCCTTTACTGGAAGAACCTCAGTGTCAGAGTGAAGAACCAGAAACTTCAGCTTCATCTGAGCCAAATCCTGAAACTCCAGAAGTTATTGTAGACATAAAATCTGAAACTTTTAATGATGATTCAATTGAACCGAGTGTGGTAGGTGATGTGCCTGAAACTGAGTCTATTACTGAGATGTCTGAACAAAAAGATGAACCCAATGCAGTTAAAGAACAGTTCCCAGAGGGTGCAGTTGATGAGGGCTTAGAAGAGGAGCAAGTAAAAGAAGATGAGAAATCTTCTACAGAAAGTTCAAATGTATCTGAAAATCCAGCTCCAGCTAAGGACCTGGAAGCAGAGGTGGAGGGTAGTGTAGATGATCCAGTTGTAGAAAGTATAGGTGATGTTCCAGCTCAGAGTGATAGTGATCAAGTCAGAGCAGTACAGTCTAGTGATATGGGTGCATCTCAGCTTAGTTCATTAGAGCCAGATGAATTTTTCGAAGAACTAGGTGAAAATAAAGATGATGATAGTGATAGAAAAGATAGTTTGGATCTTGTTAGTCGTGAAGTGACAGTTCAAGTAGAGAGAGAAGTAGGTGATAGTGATACTTCTGAAGCGTATTTAACTCCAACAGAACTGGCTGGAGAGAAGAAAGAGAATGATCTGGATGCTAATGAAGAAGAAAAGACTTTGAATGCTGACCCGCCCAGGATTAGTGTAGAAGTGACAATGGCTTCTGGTGATTTCAACAAGGAACAGAGTGTTTTAGTGTTAGCCAGTACTAGCCAAGTTCAAAATGTGAGTGCAGAGGTACAAACTGGGTCACCCGATGCAGAAGGTGAACTGAGTAAAGAGGCTTCTGTAGAAATAGTTTCTGATAGTGAAAAGGATGTGCCAGAAACCCCCACACAAACTGTTGTTCAACCTGAACCTACAGACAATCAAACACAAGAACCCTTAGATGTAGAAACAAATCCACCTGAAAATGTGATGCCAGTTACAGAAAGTATAGTTGTGAGTCCTGAAGTTCAAAGTGAATTACAGCAGGTTAAAGAAATTCAAGAAACGGTAATTAGTACTGTTGAAACTTGTGATAAAAACTCACAAAATTCTTCTCAAGTGCCAAATATTATTGAATATGAACCAAACAACACAAACTGTGATCCGAGTAAAGCCTTCCCACCTGTCCCCCCTGTGCACGCTGCTCAGTCATTCCCTCCTCAGGCGGCTCACGAGTGCCCATCCTCGTCCACGGAGGTTCCTCGTTCTGAAGGGTACCACAACGGATGCCACGAAGAGGGTGCAGCGGGGAGCAATCATCCCGTTGGTCCTTCCTCTCATCATTTGTCACCACAAAAGAGACCACATAGTGCTTCAACATCAACGCAAGTTGATCCTGTTCATTTTGGTATGTTGCAGTATATGTCCTTCAAAACTACACTTGGCCCTGGTTAAAATCAATAATATATTAGGAAAATTTCTGTTCTGAGTTTATTCTTCTGAAATTTAATAACCTTAAATTTGTTTGTTATATTGTTTACATTTTTGTATTCACAATGTTCATTATCTTTATTATGACAAAGGAACTACCAGTCGCTTTGTTTTAATCCTAACAGTCCCTTTATTTTATGTAAAGTTACTTATATGATCAATATTTATATGATCTTGAAAGAATCATAGCTCTATTATGTAACATTTTATCATTTACTCTTTTCAATTATTTTTTTAATCATAACCTTTATTTGTGGTCGTTTTCTCATAATTGTAATAAAGCTGCGACCTAGTAACATTTTCGTTTTCTTTTTTAATACATGTAGAAATTGTGTTTTCTGATCTGACTCCCCACATTAATGAAACTTCATGTTTTGATTGAAATGAAATAAAGAACAAATTTACTTGAGCATTAAGAGATTTTAATCTAAATAATTTTTAAGGGGAGCTGAGAAATGGTTTATTAATTGTGTTATTTGACACTGTAAGTGAAAACACAATTTCTGGTTTTATTGATGTAGTAAGTGAAAATCTAAATAAATAAATTAGAGTACAAATATACACATGACAAAAAGTTTATGTAATGAAAGAATAATAAGACAATGTAAGGTATCTGAAATATAATGAATGTGTTACATGTTGTAATGCTTTATGTGATTATTTATTCTTATTTGTATTATTGCCTGAATTGTTATTGACCATTTTACAGACTTTCTCTGTATCTTGCAGATGATTAATATTATTAAAAAATGTTGTATTTGATCAGGTTCTTGTTGTTAATGAGAGATACTGATTAAGTATTAACAACAGATGTTATGCTTCCAATATATTTTAAAACAACTACGATGTAGTGAGGCTAACTATTTACAAAGTCAAGAAAACTAATGAATGATAGTTTGATTGAATTTGTTATCAAATTCTATGAATCTTTTCTTTTTCTTGTAGAATCCAAACGACAAAAATCTTGTCCTGTGCCTCAAAATTCTACTCGTCCTATGTTCAGCCCTGGTCCAACACGACCACCCTTCAGAATACCAGAATTTAAATGGTCATATATACATCAGCGATTGTTATCTGATGTCCTTTTTTCATTGGAAACAGACATTCAAGTGTGGAGAAGGTAAAATATTTCATTCATTTGATAGGTTTCTTATTTGAATTAGAATTAGTTGCATAATATACTTTGTACGAATATCATATTCATGCTTTGTGTATTTCTTGCAGTCATTCAACAAAGTCAGTACTTGATTTTGTGAATAGTAGTGAGAATGCAATTTTTGTAGTGAACACTGTGCATCTCATTTCACAATTAGCAGACAACCTTATTATCGCCTGTGGTGGATTGCTACCTTTGCTTGCATCTGCTACTTCACCAAACGTAAGAACTTGAATGTGGTTTTAAATAGTTTTACCTTGAATAATGTTTTTTGAGGTTTAACTATAATAAATACATTGAATTAATTATGTGTTTCTTATGATCTCCACAGAGTGAATTGGATGTTATTGAACCTACTCAAGGAATGCCTATAGAAGTTGCAGTGTCATTTCTTCAGAGGCTAGTAAATATGGCAGATGTTTTAATATTTGCTAGTTCTCTAAACTTTGGTGAGCTGGAAGCAGAAAAGAATATGTCTAGTGGAGGCATTTTGCGGCAGTGTCTGAGACTGGTAGGTTCACGGAAAAGACATAAATTTTATTTTTAATTCTCTTTACTACCTTCATTTTTAGAAAGAGATAAGTTTTAACCATTATCTACATTATTTTTTTGTATTGTATTGCATAAAAGTTGTATGGATTGCAAACGAATATTTTTGTTTCATATATAGAGCTGAAGTAACAAACGTGGAAGCTTCTTGTGCAATTGTAATTTCAATTCATTGTTGTAACTATCCCTTTTTTTTATACCTCATGATTGCAACAAGGAACCAAAAGTAACAAATTGAGTTGTAACAGTGCACTTACGTATTTTATATTGAAACGTTTAATTTTAATGCCTGGTCTATCTTGAACATAAATAATTGCTTCAACTATTATGGTTGCATAATAACTGCATCATTGGTGACCTTCATCATTCCTTAATGCCATTCACAATATCAAACTACTATTAAGAGTGCTTTGATTTGTTCATTTTCAGGTGTGTACATGCGCAGTGCGTAATTGTTTAGAATGTAAAGAACGCAGCCGTCCTTTCACAACAGTTTCTCCCCCTGCATTGAACAGTAGCAATAAATCAGCTCATCTTCAGTCTCTCATTCGAGGTGCTCAGGCATCTCCTAAGGTATATTAAGAACACTCCTTTTTCAGCCTAATTTAATATTGGTAGAATCTCAATAGGTTCTAACAAGTAATTTTTTATTCATAGAATATCGTTGAAAATCTTGCAAGTCAGTCAAGCCCAGTGAAAGATCCGGAGAAGCTACTTCAAGATATGGATGTTAATAGGCTGAGAGCTGTTATTTATAGAGATGTAGTAAGTAAAATTTTTTTAACAATATTTGAGATTAGTATACGGAAAAGATGAAGGTAATACTTACTGTTGTCATTCATATGATTTGTACAGGAAGAAACAAAACAAGCTCAGTTCCTCTCACTTGCAATTGTGTACTTCATATCTGTTCTTATGGTTTCAAAATATCGAGACATATTGGAGCCTCCTCTTGTTCCTCGTCCTCCAAGTCCAGCTCAACCAGCACATCGTACCAATGGCACATCCCATCACTCAAGCAGTCCTCCAGGTAAGCCAACTGTAAACTTTTCTTCCTCTTCAATATTTCTTTTTCTTTCTGTTTTAGTTCATATTATGAAATAGAATATTCTAACTTACGATGTGGATGCTGTTAATGTAGAAACATTTAATTAAAATGCATCATGTTTTCTGCAGAACATGCTATAGTAAATTTTGGTCATTCATATATGGTAACATCATCCATATCCTCATACCAGGTCACATGGCATAGTGCACTTGCACACAAGCTAGCAGTTGGAGTGGTAGATGTAGGTGATGCAATCTTTCACTGACAGCAGTGCACAGCCTTCACTGTGCTTATGCTGTTGCTCAGATCACATGCACAGTATTCTGGATTATATATATTTAATCATCTGTCTTTTGATATTGTGAGCACAAAATCTCAATTGAAATGCTTTTCTGTGGCCGACATCAGTTCTATAAATTTAGCTTCTTGTTTCCCACATGATCACTTAGCATAGATTATCAAGTAGTGATGGGATATTTGTCATGATTATTTTTAATTGGCAAAGATTATAAACTTTTCTCAAGGCAAATCTTTGACTGAGAGTAGTGTGTAGTGCATTAATTCCTGTGATCATTAAGTTGAAGTGTGAATCATATGTGGTTATTTGTTTAAACTGAAAGGCAGTGCAGACATTTTCTATGTTCTTAAATTTCAAACAAGTAAAGTAGTCTCTTCATTGCTTCAAGCTAGAATTAAGGGGACTTGTAACCAAGTTCTGGAAGGCAAGTTATCCCTTCCACCAACTCATTCTCCCTCAAAACTCAGCACAACACACAGAAGTGGATGACTGCCTGCTCTTAGCAGCATGGGTGTGGTGGATGTGATGACCAATCTCTCCAACACTTTTCTTTTTTTCTTTGTGTTTGTTTGGAGCATGATAACGGCATCATGTTTTTCCCCACAGTTTGGGTTTTGTTTCTCTGACACAGAGCACCTTCTTCAGGACATGGGTGTCGACTTTACCTTCTGTGAGCATTTTAAAACAGTTATTTTCGTTATATTTGTTTGTAATTGGTATTGAAATTGTCAGTCTACTTTTCAGAAAAGATAATGTCGACACCCATTTCTAGATCAAGGATTATTTAATTTCAAGAATTAATTGTGGCTTAAATTATTTGTAGACTTTTAACATTCATTTTTATTACTGCTCATAATGAAAGTATATTCTTTTTCTCCTATGGCATAGGTATCGCTAAATTAGTTTCCAATATAAACCAGTATCTTTTTGGTAAGACAATTTAACTGAGTAGAAAATTTAGAATAAATATTCCTTAGTAAGTTGGTGGTATTTCCCTATGGATGCCAATTTCTGCCCCTGTGAGAGTTGGGAGTTTTGATGTGAGACTGGGTTATGTTGCCTGGCTGTTTGTTACCCATCTGGCAGCCGCCACTTGGTAGTTTTCCCATTGCTGTGTTTGTGTAGAGATTCATGTTGAGTACAGTACTATAATAGAATGTTTGTTTTGTTTTAAAATGAAGTTAAACTAATACTTATTATCAAAACTCCCCAGTGAAAATATAAAATATAACTATCCACTTGTTGAAATTAACTGTTTGATGAATTATGTACTGTTCTCGTCATGCTACACAAGTAAAAGTATACCATTGCAGTTGTTTTAAAAAAAATCTTTATGTACCCTGGATTTTTGTAATTTCTGCATTTGCATTGTTTGCAAGGATTTTTGAATTTGAAATTCAAAGCATTTCTAGTTTAAAAATTTGCTACAGAATGTTCCATGTTGTAGAAATGAGTGATGGGCATATTCCTGTCATTGATACTTCTACAAATAAATTCATTTTCATTGATTTATTTAAATGAAGTGTTATTGTGTTCTTGATATTTAATGCAAAAAATTCAGCATAATCGTAAAATTCTTTTCTTGCAACATTTTTCTTTTTCACTGACAGAAGTTGCTCTCATTCATTTAAACATGTGCATCTTTTGAGAGAGAATCTAATTTCGGGGTGGTTGTGGTGTTGTTTCTTTGAACGCTGGCCTATAGAGGGTGGAGCTCGACCTCTCTTCCCCCAGTGGTCTCATCACGTCTACCCTCAGTTTCTTCCTGGCACTCATCCGAATGCCGTCCCTCCTCAACAACCTTACCTCCGACACAGAAATCCCTTTTACAAAAACCACAACAATAACAACAACAATCATGTGCCAACCAGATACCATAGAAATTCGACTATGGGTCATCCAGGTAATTGTCATCTTTCGACTCATTTGTTTTAGCCATGATTATAACTCTCTTTATTGTCTCCATTAGTACCAGCTCTGTCTTCCCCCTGTATTACCCCTTTCATAGCTGTGTTTTCCTGCTGTTTGAGCCACACTTTAAACAGGATGTGATGTAAGAGTTGTAGGATCTCCTTTTGTATATTAGCAATGTTATTTCAAGTAATAAATACCTTGTAGTAATAGAATATTAAAGAGCTAGATAAAATAAATATGGTAATTTGTTTGCATGAAATTCTTTGCACTTATTTGTGTACTGTACTCAGTAATATCTTGCAGTGGGTAACAGGATTTATAAAATTTTACTGTATAATTGCATACACATTATGAACACCACCTGTGTAGTGTGGTAGCTGGCCTGGCACAGCTGTGACAGGAGGCTTCTCTCAGTCCCATTAGTAATCCTTCACCTAACTCACTGCTTTCTGTGTTTGATGCATGGGAATGATCCAGTAGACATTTTACATGCATTTCTGGCTGTATCGTAATAATTTTTTATTTAATTGTTAATTTGTTTAATTTTTAAAAGTTGCCTTTTCTTAGTTTTATTCCTTATTCTCTGAATTCCAAGGTTCTTGCTAGGTGCAGCCATAGATAGAAGTTTGCACACAGAAGAACACTGTTGAGAAGATCATTTTATTTTACTTTATATTTGCGCTAATTTGAAACCTCTATCTTGAATAGTATAATATATTAGTTATCGCATAATTAAGAAAAACATTCATTCTGGTGTCTTTGCATGGTGCAGTTTGTATTATTTATAGCCATCCATAGTTGATCTATCCAACTGCCAGTTGTAAGTTTAATTGAAGAATATACTAGAAATAAGTAATTAACCATTCACTTCCAAATATTTTTCTGGATACATTGATTTATTGATTAAATTGGAAAAAGTATTAATTTAGTGCTTGTTTTCTTAAATCAAAATTTCTGTTATTTAAAATCTGGAAACATTTCAGGACTGTGATGACATTTGCTAATTTCTCTTGCAGCTCAGCAAAGAGCAATGTGTCCCCAGTTGTCTCAGGATGACGGAGAATATGAAGTGATTGTAGTTGATGAAAACAATTCTTCTGTTTTGGCCGATCATGATCATTCAAGTGGGCCACCATCTTTAAAGGTAAAATTACTTTATTCTTTAAATAAGTTGTATTTGCTCTCTAAGTGCAAGTAATTAGTTATCACTGCTTAATATGCAATTAAATGAAAACTTCATTCTTTGTGTTCATTAAACTTATTTCTTTGCTGGGAGTTGAAATTTTGTGTATAAGTAGCATATGTTTCTGGTACATACAAGTTGTGTGTATGGTATTTGTGCAAGAGCATCAATTTTAGCTTGGTGCAGAGAGTATAACTAAATTATGAATAAGAAGTACAATAATTTCAAATCTGATTCTTGGAATTGCCAACAGTTCAAATTATATTATGTAATCCTAAATCCATTATAGTTTTTAAATAATTCTGAATTTCTTTAAAACAAATAATTTTTGATAAATTGATTAATAGATGGTCGTATTTTTCAAATGAAAGAAAGTTCAAATTAAAAACTAAATATTTGAAAAGATTAAGTTGAATTGAGTTAATGAATTTTTCTCAGTCCTAATTAGTGAAACTCTTCCTACATAAATATTTTTTAAGATATTAAGGATACAATAAGGCAAGAAATCAACAAAACTTTTACACAGACTCCTTATCAAATCGAAAATATTACTGCAAATTTCCACTTTATCTGACAATTTTTTTCCATTTTCTCATTCTTTTCTTTTTGTTTTTATATTTGTAGACCCTGTTGTAGAACACTGTACAAAGAAGCTTATTATTGAATTATTGTGGAATATTAGTCAGCTGAGTTTACTTATGAAGGGTTCGCTTCTAGACAGTCCTATGCTGTATTTCCATTGAAATTAATATAATCCTATGAATCATCCATTGTATTGATAATTACATTTTGTGTAAAAGTTGAGGTGGTGTAACAAATGTTACTTAAGTACAAAACCATTTGTTCTTTACGCTGTGGCAAAGAACGTCAGGTTAAAACCTTTATCTTCTTTTTTTTCAGAATGAACTTGATGTGGTATAGGACTATTGAGAACCCTTCAAATGTTTCCAGTAAAATCATTTTTATTATTATGTTTTCTACAATTTATATTATTAATACTGTTAGTGAGTCATCATGGCCATTACCATCATTATCTTCCAAAGTCTCTTATTTATATAAAGTCCATAAATTAAGTGACTGTCCTAATAATTTACTAGTATGAAAACTATATTTATTTGTAATTCATCAAAATTGTTGTTCTATGACTTCACGGTAGACACTTCATATTTCTTCACAAGAGCCCAGAAGTTGATCCAAAATTCAATCAGATCATACGATTTTAAGTAGTCTAGAATTAAATAAATTCATTGCCTGCCCATCTCAGAAAAAATCATTCTTTCTACATAAATTCCCTTAAAATTTGTTTTTTCAAAAAATTGTATATGGTTCAGTTAGGCAGACATTTATGTTTTAAACTGTGTTTCATTTTTTGTACTTGTAGACATTTAGAGTTTTTGTAAATTACTCAGTGCTAGGTTGTTGTAGCTTTTCAAACTAAAAGGTGTAATGTAAAATACCAAATGTTATGTACATTACGAATGATAAATAGCCTGGTACTTAAAATGATAACCTAAAAATTAATTTTTTTTTTCCAAATTTTTAACTTCTCCATTGGTGGACCAGATAAAATTTTTAAATTTACACTTGTAAAAGAGTACTGATGCCAAACTGCAGTATAAATTTCATCTTTGCTATTCATGTCCTAACACTACTTGTAATCCTAATTACACCAAATACTACTGTGAAGTAAAACTTCTTTATTCTATTTCCAATAGCTTTATAGCTAATTGCTTGAGAAAATCAAATTAAAAGAATAAACAAATTTTTTACCGCTTTGTTTCCTTATGTTTCACTTCAGATCTACCTTGTACAGCAATATTCTCACAACAGAACTTGCAGAGAATTAAATTTACATTCAAATTAGTCATTATTTCCTATCATATCTTGCAGTGATTGAAAGTTATAGAATTTGATATTTCTGGACAGTTTTAATTTCATTTTTTCCCTGCCCTGATCACAAAATCAATGTTTTTGTATTTACTCCTCAGCAGAAAAAGGCTGGTCACATTTCAAGGTTGATCAGTGTTATAATAAAAATATAAATAAAAAGAAAACATCCTATAACTTGGTGTGTGCATTTTTTGATTACATATCACCTTCAGAACAAAAATTGTGTTGTCCCGTATGTTTAAAAAATCATATAAACTCTTAGTTTGTTCTATGTGAGGAAATGTTAAAAATGCACTGAGAGAAAAATGATTTCTAGTTAAAATTCATCTCTGAGTATGGTGCAAAATAATTTCTTCAACATTTAAACTTGGTTTTTAAAGTAGCATTACTCTTCCCAAACATCACATGCAGTGTATATTGCTTATTGATGTAATAAATTTTTGTTAACTTTAGGACGTTGCAGTGTACTAAATGTACAAATTTATTTCCTGACTTAATATGTATTAATTATTTACACCTGTATTATAACAAACATGATTTTTAACTGTTTTTTACATTGTTGTTAACTTCTTTATGCTTTGCAATTTTCTTGGTATACAGCTGTCCTGTTCCATGTCTCGAACTAAAAAGCACTTGCGGAGACTTCCTCTAACTGTCTTTCTCTCTTAATAATACTGTAGGGAAGCACTCGATCAAGGGCTTCATCGCATGCCTCTTCTCTTAACAACCACCATTATGAGATAGATCAGCCTGATAGTATGCCGAGATACAGCCGAGCTCCTCCTCCGACTCTTCTCTCCAACAAGGTAAATGGGAGGTTTATGACAATGTCAACGGAGCAATTTGTTCTTTGTTATCTCTAGCTCACAACTTTTTTGTCTTTTGTCTTGTGCGTCCAGTTTATTCCCATTTTATGTCCAGCATGATTTTTTATGTGACTTTTTTATGCTATATTGCTGTACTTTTCTTTTCTTTTGTGGTCTGTCTGATGTCTTCTTGTATATAATATATGTTAATTTTATTTCTTTGTTTATGTACAAATATTTCGTTTTTTACAGTTTGTGGTTATTGTGTTCATGCATTTTCTTTTACATTTAATGAATTGTTTTTAGTACATCCTAGAAATATTTATTTTGTCATATTAGTAAAGTTTTGTTCTGTAAAAAGTATATTGATTTTGATGAAATGCTTTGTTATGTGCATTTTCAGAGTGCTGAATCCATAGAAGAAGTAAACTCCCTCAACATGAATGCAACAGAAAATAGTGTTGATTTGGAACCTCCCAATGAAATTCTTTTAGATGATAACAAGCCTCTTTCAAATGATGAGAGTTGGACTGATGTCAATCTAAATGAGGAGGGAGACCCAATGACCACAAAAGAAGAGCATCGCAATCTTCACAACATGGCACATTCCAGAGGTAAGAAAAATTTGCTTGAGTTTTGTATCAGAAATAAGACATAATATATCATTTCAAACTGAAAAAATAGAGGAACCACAGGCTTGAGTATTATTAGGTCAGCCTAAGGGAACTATTTATTTACATGTACATTGCCATTTAAACTCATATTTGCACTATTTTTTTTGGCATATGTTTCTTCCATTTCGAAATATGATTTGGTTATGTCTTACATATTAAACTCTTTTGATCTCCTTGAAGTCCTGGGTAAATTCTTACGTCATCCTACCTTTAAAAATTCATCTCCTGTATCTAAATTTAATCATGACCTATCTCATTTTTATACTGAGTTTGATCTTCAACATCTGTATGTAAGAAGAAAATTTAATGTCATGATTAGTTATTACAAGATCCAATTGATTCTTCCAAGATAGTATCTTGTATCTATATTCTTATCCCTGTGAGAAGAAAGAAACCCTGCTCGTTTCTGGGTCGATAATTCTACAACAAATTATAGTTAAAAAAATACATTTAACAGGCTAACCAGAACTGCAAATAGTTTAGTTTATGCAATAGACTTAATCGATACAAGTTTTGAAGCATTTTATAAGCATCTCAAACAAAACATTTAACTTTTACTGAATGTACAACTTTCTTACTTGATATTTGGATATGTAGATATTGCTCAAATGTGTGCTTTCTATGTGCATGTAAACTTTAAGACTATACTCATTTATTTTGTAATGTTGTAATTTTAACATGTATATCAAGGGCATGCCCTGTTAATAAGTAAATAAAAATATTGCACAGAAAGATTATCGATATTAATGTGGTATAATTCTTTCTGAAATGAATATAATATGAATAGATGATTCTTACAGCCTGGTTTATCTGATTTTTGTTGTAATTGTGTTTTAAGGAAAGAGGTTGAAGTACATTTCATCCTAACCAAACAAGCAGTTTTCCGACTTCAATATTGTTAATATTTTTATGGCAGGTATGGTGGATGCCGAAGGTAACATTCAACAGGGACCAGGATTAAATGTGGAGAGAGGGGAAAAACCTCAGGGAGAAATATCAGTGGTTAGAGTTCCTGATGGCCTCTGTCCTGCTCCTACACAAGCTCGACCAGATGAGTTGCCAATTAAACCATTAATGGAACACCTCCCAGTACCTACTCCTTCCAGAGAAGCCAGCCTTACACAAAAATTGGAAATGGCTTTGGGATCAGTGTGTCCTCTTCTGCGAGAGATTATGGTAGACTTTGCTCCTTTTCTCTCAAAGACGCTTGTTGGTTCACATGGACAAGAGTTACTCATGGAAGGAAAAGGTAATATAGCATATTTTCATTTAATTTTTCTTAACAATTTAAAATAATAAGTGACTGTGAAATGCTCTAAACACATTTTGAGAATTGCATGTACTTAATGTGTTATGTTTTTTAAAACTTCCACAACAATTCTGCTACGCTTTCATGCTTTTCTTCATAATAAATAAAATCTAAGGGAATACAATTTTAAAAAAATGTTTTTTATACTTCTTTTTACTACTCAGGTCTAACAACATTCAAGAATAGTAATTCTGTAGTTGAGCTTGTTATGCTGTTGTGTTCCCAAGAATGGCAAAATTCTTTGCAGAAACATGCTGGCCTAGCTTTTATTGAACTTATTAATGAAGGAAGGTAAACAGATTTTTCATTACAATTATTACATATTGTTCTGAGTACTAAAATGTAACTCTTACTCTGGAATATTGATACAATTGTGTGTCATAGGTTGTTGTCGCATGCTATGAAGGACCACATTGTTCGTGTGGCCAATGAAGCAGAATTTATCCTCAATAGAATGAGAGCAGATGATGTGTTAAAACATGCAGACTTTGAAGTATGTTTTATCTTTTATTACATTATACTAAAACTTTACAAAATGAGAGGAAGGCTATTAATACAATTTTTTTTGATCTAGTCACAATGTGCTCAAACTTTGCTGGACCGTAGAGAAGAGGAGAGGATGTGTGATCATTTGATTACTGCAGCAAGAAGAAGAGACAATGTAATTGCGAGTAGATTGTTGGAAAAAGTAAGAAATATTATGTCAAACAAACATGGTGCATGGGGATACACAGATCCTCACACTGCTAAGTAAGTAATATGTAAATTCAGTTGTGTAGCAGATTATTAAGTCTATTATCGAATAGTATTATTGAGTAGTTAAGTATTAAACTCATAGAAGAAAGAAATTAGTTACATTATTAGATTAGTCTTCACTCTGTTTTAGTATTAAATTAATTGGTAGCAACATAATAATTAACGTTAAAATGATGGGAGCAGTCATTTTGACTGTTTTGAGGTTTTAGTTATCTTTTGAGCATTTATTTGTTGATATTTTTGTAATATTTTACAACTTTTAATATTTGAGGATTTTCTATAAAATGCCAAAATAGCTTAAATAAAATGCCAAATTAGCTTAAACTTTGAGATAATAGCTTAATTAATAATTCTTAATGATTTATGTTCAACGATGGGTAGCAGTCAAACTAACTGCTCATTTTAAATGTGATTGGGATGACAATTGCCATGAGTTCTCTCTATCAAATATTCATCCAGACACTGGACTGTCGAAGTATTTTATAACATCATTGATTTAGCTAGAATCAATTCATAGATTTTGAATGAAAAGGACTCGGGAAACAATCTGTCCCTGTGGTAGTTTTTTCTGAACCTGCTGAAAAACATGGTGCACCACTGCTAAAGACTCGAAATTTTACAAGAGGGCATCACCTGTTGCAGAGTACTCAGTACAAATAAACTTACTAGGGGCAAATAATTGTTCACAGTGTCAACGAGGATACCATAAAACAATAAGTCCAGCGACACTTGTTCTGGGTGTGGATAAATAGTTTGTGGCAAATTTTGCAACATGAAAAAAGTTGTTGTTTGTTTTAATTGCAAGCCAAAATAAGTAAATATATATGATTTACTTCAAAAACTATTTTTCATTACCATAAAATGTATTATAAGACGTGAATTATAGCAAAGATTTCTGAAAATAAAAATTAAAAATGAATTATTTGAAGCAGTTCTTTTGACTAGTCGCTATTGTTATAGGTAGGGCAACATTGACATTTTTCTAATGTTTAGTAATATTTACTTAATTATACATTACTTATAATATTTAATATATAAACAACAGTCAGTCTGCTGTGATGATTAATTTCTTGCAACTTTAGGAGAGTACCAAACACTTTTTTTTTTTAATTGTTTCATAGTTTGAATTTGATATAATTTATAATAAGCATGATGATGGGAAAAATTTAGCCTGCAAATATCGCATTTTTGAGATGTTAATGAATGCTTTTTAACTACAGTATTTGATTCAAGAATCTGTTTAATTTTTAATTAAAATTTCCTTTTTTTTCCATTAAAGGATGAATGAGTTCTGGAAACTAGATACGTGGGAAGATGATGCAAGGAGGAGAAAGCGATTTGTTCACAATCCTCTTGGCTCGAGTCACCCTGAGGCTACTCTTAAAGCAGCACTAGAGCATGGTGCCCCAGAGGATGCCATTCTCCAGGTAGCATTTGTGTTTATTTTTGAAACATGGCATTTCTGTTATAGAAATTGAATGCCTTATTCAAAAGCAAAGTGTGAATTATCATGTTCTTTTCAGTCTTGCCCCTAACTTTGAGGGATGCAACATTTTATTTAACTAAAACACAATTTACCAATATATTTTCAGTTTACAGTTTGTTAGTTTTAACTCCCTGTAAGTGTAGTATAGAGAAAATATAGAAATTTTACTATACAACATTGTTGAATTGGTGATAGAAGTACACATTTTGTGGATCCCTGAAGCTGAGAAAGAGTCTTTTTTGGTGTTGTTTTTCTTTTCTTTCCAAAATGTTGGTCAGTCCAGTGGTTGGCCAGTCAGTTGACTGTGGACAATATCAGCCAAAACCGTTCACAGGATTTTCTCCAGGATGGATATATTCTAATTGATCCGGTCAATTCCCTGTGAATTTAAGTGGATCTTTTAAGTTTTAGCGGTTCTGACCAGAAATCCATAAGACATTTTAAAAATATTCTCAATATGGCTCCATGGCTCCATATTTTTTCTTTTCATATTTGTTTGAATAACTTAAAAACCCCTTATTAAAAAAGGGTGTATATCCCATTTCCATGAAAATCTCTTAATTTTCATAAGAGGAAAATGTTCAAATTTGTTTGGAACGATTCTTTAAATGGTTTCTCATAGTTGTTTTCAAAAAGTCAATGCTTTTTGAATGTAAAAATAATTTAAAATGACTCATAGCAAAACCACTTTAAAGTTATTGTGAGAATGATAATCCATAAGTTATTATGATAATTTTCTCTCCTTGATTTAGGCTCGTGAAGAATTCCATGCTCATTTGGCAGCATCTCGTTCACAACAGCAACAGATGCAGTCCAATGATCTTATGGATGACAGTGAACTTCTAGCTGATGACAGAGATTTAGATGTTGACTTGACTGGTAAGTAGCAACCAAATGCTGCATGTCAAATTTTACTAGCCTCCTTTCTTGTCTACCTGCCTTGCCTCTTTGTAGGGCTATTTACAAAATTTTCTGAAATATGGTTCTAAAGGTTTTCTTCATTTTTAACTTCAATAGAGCAAAGTGCACATATAAATATACAGTAATATAACTTTAATTTTCATTATTAATGAAGATACCTATCATATCATGTGGGATATCACGTTGCATACAAAAATACAACAGCGACTATGCAATGTCAGTTGATTTGGATTTACGTTTTCACTCGTGCAGGAGCTTATAGTGCTGAGGGTTGAATTTGCATGTGAAGTGTTCTTATGATTTCTTGCTATTTCTTGGCTTAGTGGTGTCTTTGCGAGTAATTCAGTGAAAAATCTCCAAGCTCGATAATTCTGTTGTTTCTGTTTTGTTTTTTTCTTTTGCGATTATGTTTTGTGGTATTAACTGTCAAGAGTGGTCATGAAACTGTTTTGGTGATAACACTAAATGTCAATAAAGTGTCCCTTCATTACGAAACAAAGAAGTATTTGAAGAAAGGAAATTTCAGTCATCACTAAATTTGGACCTTTGCCTCCCGTATAATAATACCACACCATTGCCTCCCACAGTATTTGCTAACATCAATAAATTGCCTTCCACAAGTACCAAAATGTTGCCTCCTGCCAAGCCCAAACTTCATCTCCCACATTGTTTGGCAACATCAGAAACAATCGTAACATTTATGCATCACCATTCACCTGCATATTTTTGTGTTTCCTGCAATAATACCCCAGTTTTGAAAACAGAAAAAAGGAGGGAAATCTGTTCTATACCTCCATTGAAACTAGAGATTTTTTTCTGTTGGTCCGACAGTTCAATGGTATGAGAGATCAACGGACTGACAGATTGATGCACCAACAGATTGACGCACCGACAGACCAACAGATTGATGGACCGACAGATTGACAGACTGACCTATACATTCAGGTATGCAGTTGAGAGACTGGCTGACAGACAGGCAGATCGACAGGCAGGGAGACAAACACATGGACTGAAAGGCTGACCGACAGACACACGGACTGAAATGCTGACCGACAGACAGATAGGCAGAGAGACAGATGGCTGGTCTGACAGAACGACAGGCAGGCTGAGACAGGGACAGAGTGGCAGGCATATCGAAACCAGATACACTGACTGACAGACCTACTGACCGACTGAATGATTGATTGACTGACTTACCAACCTATGGAAGGACTAATGGATAAAAATCATAGCATCAACAGAATTGGTTTTTATATCATTAAAATAAGCATATGAGATGATGCAATGGCAGTTATTTTTCCAGCAGGGTCAGGCACCAAAATTTATGAATATACGCATGCCTTTGGCACCATTAATTTTCATAATTAGTAAATCATTCTGTGACTTGATATGTATTTACTGTGATATCTTAATTTATAGGTCCTGTGAATATCAGTACAAAAGCCCGACTAATAGCTCCTGGTATCGTCACTCCTGGTATGGTGTCCATCACTTCTACAGAGCTGTACTTTGAAGTCGATGAAGATGATCCTGAGTTTAAGAAAATCGACCCAGAGGTAGGATATATTTTCTTCTTTTTTCTGTAGTATTAACACTCCTGATATGGTTTCCAGGTCTTTCACAGAACTGTACTTTGAAGTAGGTGAAGTTGATTCTTAATTTGAAGAAATTGTTAATTCCTTCTGTAGTAGAACAAAATGATTTTACATTACCATTTCTATCTTTTATTGATATCATTCCATTCGATATTTTGCGAAGTCCTTCCCTAACAATGAATTTGGGGAAGTGTAGGGATGATTGGTAAAATAAGCCAGTGGGTACTTGTGCTTAGGTTTCACAACCCCCAGGTAATCATAAAATACTTATGTTAGGATTATGTCTTTTTGTTTTAATGTCATTCAATAATTGATATCTTGCAGTAATAGCAATGTACAAAATCATTTTGAAATCAACGAGTGTGCATCAGTTGGTCTCTTTTGCGAGAGGTTGCAAGCCAGGCTGCATACCAATGTGTGACATCATTCATATGGATGTTTAGTATTGTAAAACATGAGTCATCAGACTCTTTGCATGTCCCAATGTGTTGACATTGTGAGCCCTTGGAATTCTTCTGTTGGATCTATGAGTGTGTTTGCAGTTCTTGCAGTGTATGCTGTTGAAATGAATTTGCGTTATTATGCATGCCAGTGTATGTGAGAATATAAACCACATTATTTGTTTGTGATCGTTTTTTTTACTGTTGTTTTTGTGGTTGTTGTCGCTCCTGCTGCTTGTGAACTGTTCTGTGTATGTTCTTCTTCAACGAAGTAATATCCTCCCAAATGTGGTTTTATGATTTTTTGTGTACCTTTTATTCGTACTTTCAGGAAGATAGGAGTGTTCAATGTTTACTTGACACAAATTAGTCAATGAATTCAATGTAAAATTTAATAACATTCCTTTTATTTAATCCCCTTTTGAAGAAAAACTGGAAATAAAGAAATGTGGAAAGCATAATTGAAGTTATAAAAATTGTATTCAAAATGTAAAAACTGAACAAAAGTATTTAATGGAAAATTCAAGTGTGCTTTTTAATGTAATGTGGCTGTCATTCAAAGGCGGATCTGTTGTGGTTTTATGGTATATGATTTCGAAATGGGTATACATGGAGAAGACTGGAATTAAAGCATAACAAATACTTTAATGAATTTTGGTACATTTCCTTTTTGCTGTAGCCTATGGCTCTCATTCATGTTCTGGTGATTCCAAGGGCTAGAGATTTCATCTTGCTTGAGGCCAGATCCGTGTGATAATTTGGTTTGGGGGGGTCTAGCTATAACCACACGAAACATTACGAGTGGTTAATATACCCACTCGGAATTTGGTGTGAAGGAAATGTTCCGTAAATTTTAAATTCCAGAAATGAATGAAGTTTGTAGGTATTTAGTCTTTGGAGTGGCTCACCTAATTAGTTGTCCTTGGTCCGTCTACTCACCAAAATAAAACACCGTGGATTTTTTGAAAGTGGTAATTTAGTTCTTGTGGGTATTCTTTAGGAAATCTTAATAGCCTCCAAAATTTCCACACCAAATTCTATCTTTTTTGTTTGTTTATTGAGAGATTGATGATCACTCACATTGGTACGATCACTAAGTGAACAGCTTCAACCAATATGTTCAGGAAGGCATAAGCCATGAACATAGGATCTTTCAAGCAGATTTGACAGTAAAATCTTAGTGTGTTATTTGCCCAATGGATTTGATATACTTGTAAGTCTGGACTGTATGGAGGATGTTGCCCTGCGCCACACTTGGATCGCTTCAGTAATTCGGACATATGGCAAGCCTGAGGTGTTATCGTGCACAAAATCATACCGGCGCTTAATTTTCCTCAATGCTTTTCTTTAATTGCCTTACGCAACCAGTAAAAAGTTTGACAATTAGAACGCTCCTTCAATTCGGTGTGAACATTCAGTTGACTCGCCTAGCTCGCTTTGCACACCAAAACGAAGGAATACCACAAACACCTTCCCATCAGACGTGCCAGCTCTTACTGTAGCTTGCTCCACATTGGCACGGTCATGACTAGGGGGCGGATTTTGATTACCTAAAACGTTGCACAAAATGATCAATAAAATGCTTTAAAAATCCCCCAACAGAGAAAAATGACGTTTTATATATTTTTAAAATCAAAATCAATTTAAATGAACAGCTCAAGATGCTGGATACGTTACTACGTAATCGAAGCTTCTTCTGCGTTCAAGTGGACACAGCTTGCAAACTTCGGGTTTTACAGTGTTCTTTAAAAGAAAATGTCAGCCTTTATTGCGAAATCGAACGAACTGACAACGGTGCCGATAAACGACACAGGAACCTTAGATTGCATAATACAGCGGCTGACATTACAATATATGAGCGAAAAAGAGAATAGGCTACTCAGGAATTCTGTGGTGAGCATTTGCTGCACCTCGTAAATATTTTTTTAACAAGTGCAATTAAAATGATATTAAAATCGATTAAATCAGCGAAAATGCAGTAAAAATGACGTAAAAAAGAAAAAAAAACTTATTAGTCGAAAGCGACGAAAAAGTTAAAAAGCAAAATCTCATAAATCTTTACCTTAACACGTTCGGGCATTTTGACTAGATACGTAGTATGCAGTTATGCATTTTCATTTTTCAAATTGTCGCGTCACTCACATGAACACTTGTGTGTATTGTTATCGTTGTTCTGGCTTGTCCTGTCACATCAGTAGCTGTGTGCAATTTACCTCACGTGTTTATCCTTCGCAACACCAAGGTGAAAATAGTTCCGTGCTTTATCAAGAGATGGAGAGGTCTGGACCTCTGTTGGAGATTGAATTTTGATTTTATTGACGTATTAAACTGATAGGCCGAGAATTAAAATACTACGAATATATCCAAAATGTATTCTGAATGTTCAGTTTTCAAGTGAATTAAACCGACTTTTTATACAGGGCCAAAGACGCTGTTGTGCGATTCAAATTATGTAATGTAACTCAAATTATAACACACACTTGCGATATATTTTGATAAAAGGACATCATAAACAAAAGCATAAGTTTCCACGGCTGGAGTCAGTAACTACTTGGTTGACCAGAAGACGCCGCGTCGTAGGCACAGGTGCCATTCTGCGACCTTCCTCAGGGCGAAAAGCATTTAGGAAGGTCGCCGATGGCGGCCGAAATGTTGGTACCTGTGCCTAAGGTGCAGCGTCTCCCGAATAACCAAGTAGTTACTTATTCACATCAAAAGCGATATCAATGATTTTCGGTTTCATTAAAAATTGAAATCTTGAAAAATCAAACCATCATCGCTAGACCTCTGATACCCTTCACCAAGGCCTTTGAACTCTCCATTAAAACCGGGGACAAAGCTCGAGGATGCTGCTCTAGGTGGCGTTAGTGTCGTCAGGTACAGCGTAGATTAGGCTCGCCAACTTCCACACATAAAAATTGGCTCATTAGTGAGAAAAAGTAAACTTGTCTTTTAAATGTTCAATTATTCTTTTGTAACATTATAGTTCTGCTTGAGTCCCGCGAACTCACGCAGCAGCCATGCACGTTTTAAGTATCGTTGGCAGCAGTTCGTGTTTTAGTTCCTGAAAGAAGATGTGAAGGTGTGTTTTAGCTCCCGAAGAGCGCGCCACCGTAATGGTTTCCACCACGTTATATGGGAGTTGCAAGGCCCTGACAACCTCCCTCGGTAATGCCAGGGTTAATCGCGTCCCTTCGTTCGTCATCGCTGCGCTTCGTTCACCTTCGTTAACGTTGTCGTTCAATTTCCCATTTGTTGCAGCACTTCTTGTTTCTCGATTTTTCCTTTTCAGTCCTTGGTTGTTCTTGCCTTTCGTCCGCGTAGGCAACTGCACTGCTTTTGTTTGAAGAGAACCAACCGCCCGTGAGTGATTGCTCACGCCAGCAACGTTGTGGCGATCGATTTGATGTATTGTGCGGTTTTAAAAATGACTTCCATTTGGGTTATAAGTTAGCCTGTCAGAAGCGATCCGGCAGGCGGGCGGGCGGGCGGCCGCCAACGCCGTCTGCGTCGTCGCTACCACAATACCTTTTGGAAGGCGAGGCCCTCTGCCTCATCCTCCCCCGCCAGGCGGCCCCGTCGGCTCCCGGTCGCTGAGAAATTGTCTCAGCCGGCCTTATTAACTTGTACATCGCGCCGATTGGCTCCCGTGCGCGCGCGCGCCGCTACCGACAGCCCGCCGCCCCGCCCCGCCCCGCCCCGCTCGCCCCGCCCCGCTCCGCCCCGCCTCCCCGCCCCGCCCCCGCCCCTCCCCTCCCAGCCCCCGTCCCCTCCCGCTTCCTGGCCCCGCTTCGCTCCCTGCCCCGCCCCGCCCCGCCCCCTCCCGCCGCCCCCTCCCGCCCCACCCCCTCCCCGCCCAGCCCCGCCCGCCGCGGCCCGCCCCGCCCCTCCCATTCCCCTGTCCTGCCCCGTCGCTCGCCGTTTCCCATACCCCGTGCAACAACCCTCGCCCTGCCACTCACGACCACTTTACCCCTCGTCTCTCGCCCAACCACCCGCGGTTCGTTGTCCCTTTCCCACCCACGGCTCCTCACACACCGTCCCCTTGCCCCACCACCACCCTGCCCATCGCTTCCTCTCCCTATGCCCCGCAACCTACCTCCCGCGCCTACCACTGTTCGTCCCACCCCGCCTCGACCCGCCTCACCCCTCCCCGCCCCATCCCACACCGCCCGCGCTCCACACCCTTCGCCCATCGCCCCTTCTCCCCATTGCCCTGCGCCTTCACTGCCGTCCCGTTCCGCCCCATCCTCACGCCATCCCGCTTTTGTCACGTAAAGATTCCATCGCTCTGTGGTAGCCGCTTCTGACTCTGAGCGTAGCCGCACTATTTCACGCCCCCCGACTCGCATATAACCGAAGCTTCTGGCAAGCTGAGCGCGTTTGTAAAACTCCACGGACGTTACAATAAACTAATTAGAGTGAAAGAAAAAAAAAAAATGGACTTTTGTGTCTCGTGCCTTAATTTAAAACGAAACAATTTAAAGGCGACAATGCAGAAACTATTAACTCATCATGTTTGTTTAGTTTGCAATAGAATTTTGGGGATGT